TCAGTCGCGGCCCGGATAGTCCGTCAGGCCCATCAGTTCCCTCATGATTACAGGCAAACCTTGCTGAAGAGTGCCAAGTAGCACGAAACCTAGGTCCAGGGTTTCCTGTTGACTACCTCTAACCACCATCTTATCTCAACAATAGTAATCTATATTTTGTATTATTTCATAGAATAACTTATATAAATAGTATGATTATAATAATGATTATTATTATGTTGTTGTTATGAATGTAATACTTATTTACTTCCTCCGAATCATTTTTTTCAATATTCTCTGTCTAATTATCCAACATAAGATTACTGAGTTACAATTATTTATTTATTACTATATATTAATGTGATTGTTTATTGTAAGCAAGTTTCACTTCTTTCCTATCACTTTACTCAATCATTGATTTGTGTAAACGTAATCTTCCAGTAAATTGGTTACATGTAGAATAAGTGAATGATTATCTAGTGAGTTAATTGATAACTATATGAATATTTTCACAGTGCATTAAATTGACAACTATCAGAATTATTGATATGATTTCCCCTTCTCTTGTATATCTAATTACCTACGTTTATTTATCAACAAAAGTAGATTTAGTGATATGAACTACATTCGAATATAAGTGAAGTGAATAACAGAAGAACTAACCACGTACAAACTGTAAACAATATATTATCGTTGAAAAAAAATATACACCTATGATAGACCTTTATGTTCTAGGATTGTTTATAGCAAATACTATCTAAGAAGTACAGAATTATTTCTACGAAAATAGTCCTAACAACAAAATTCTTTAAGTTTTATATGTTTCACAGTTATGAAGTTTTTTTACTTTTGATATATGGTATAAGTATTTTATTTTATTTGTTTTATTTGAACACATAAATATTGGTACAAGTGGGCACCAAATATGTATGTGCCACATATTTTCATTATCATTATATTTGTGTATGAGTTGTGATACTGCCCGGGTGCCCAGATCGAAACAGGTGGTTTTCTTAGAGGGCCACACCTCGAGCCTTTGACCTAGGGACCTGACCTACAAGGCAGTGGAGCATCGTGAGGAGATGCATTCCCATGGTAGCCGGTGACCAACGATTGGTTCATACGCCATTTGTTCCCACAGGATACTGGGGCCCATGTGCACCATTGGTTTGGGATCCGGTTAAAGCCCCGGACATTCGCTTTTCGTCCTCTCATTTTCGTAAACAACATCAACGCCACGAGAATTAGTATATCTCAAAAAGTTCTTAACTATATATTTACCAACAGTTACTTTTCCAATGATAGAATCTTTTCATAAGAAAGGATATACATATTTTCAGCCAAAATAATAATTAATGTTCGCTCAATAACAAGAAATAAATAATCTCACCGAACTCATGAAGCGATCAATCCTAGACCGCCATTAAAAACCTAAAAATACTGAATGGCCGTTTCATTCTAGTATGGGCACCCTCAGCAGTGCGCATCCGCGATCCCACACCCGAGATTCGAACCTAATATCTTCGGTCTTGTGAGTACGCTTAAACTTCAGACCACTGAGCCGTATCGGGTATGAGGCAGTTATCCATTGAAGACAATGAAAGATGGTCAAGCGACATCGTATATTAGTTAAAGTTAGACATCAACTACACTGAATGCCGGTGGATCAGTGGTCTACAGTTCAAGCATTCGCACGAGACCGAAGGTGTTTGGTTCGGAGCTTGCAGGCGGGATCGTGGACGAGCACTGCTGAGGAATCCTTTACTAGGATGAAACGGCCGTGGTGTGCTTCTAGGTTTTAATAGTGGTCTAACTTGGATTGGCTCATGATTTCAGTGAAATTAAACAGTCTCCACAACCCCAAACTCAAAGTAAATTATTGTTATAAATTTACAAACTATGCATTACATATTTTTTTATAATATGCTGTGATATTCTACAAAGTAAGAGGAGGCTGATTATTGAATAATAATCAGCGTGTAATAAGCCGATGGGAAATTTTCTTCTATGAAAAGAAAATAAACATTGATCTGTCACTTAAAAGTTGTCAGTTTAGGGGTTGTGGAGATTGTTAAGTTTTTTTGGTTGAGATCATGAACCGGTTGATGCTAGACCACCATTGAAAACCTGGATCGTAGATGCTCACTGCTGAGGAGTCCCACAATAGGACGAAACGGCCGTCCAGTGCTTCCAGGTTTTCAATGGTGGTCTAACACCAATCGGTTTATGATCTCAATAAAACAAACTTAAAAGTGAACTTAAACTGTTCCATTAAACTTATATTAATCGAATGATGTGTAGAAAAAATGCTTCCTGTACATCTGAGGTAGTGTTGAATTGTACAAGCAAGTCAAGGACAGTTCTATATAGAATAGGAATTAGTACCTGACAGTAAAGTATTTGGACTGACTTAAATTCCTCAACTTAACATCAAAATAAGAACAAATCAGGAAGAATGCAAAAAAAAGTAATGAGAGATTTTAATAAATAACTCTAAAGAAAGCAATACAAAATGCAAGTTTGAAAACGAAGTTGAATGTTTAAAGTATTATCGTTTTTCAGAGCCGCAAACATCCAACTGGATAAACTGTAATTACTATGTCTCGTTTAAGGCTAAGCATGTCAGTAGTTGCACCTGTCTATAGTAGTTGTTTTTTTCTGAGACAAGAACTTATATGCTCAAAATCGAATTAATAGTGTCTTTGGTCATGTGGTATACGCTTAAACTACTTCGGTTAATAAAGCTTAGTGGCCTAATCATTTGAAGATAATTCAGTCATCTAAATTTAGTGACAGATAAACAAACTGATTTATTAAATAATTCTCCATGTTTAAACTAATTATTGATACGCAAATTCCTTTAATCTACCTGTTATTAATTAAGATTTGTAGCTTAGGTGGAGCTTTGTTCTCCAAGCTGGATAATTTGGTCGTGGAGCTTTCATCGTTCTTTTGAACATCATCAGCACAAACTTCACGTCGAAGTAAAGTGTTTGAATTTCTCTTCATATGACTCCTCGATCTTGATCAGTTATTGTCGACCCTTAACCTGCCATTATGTACTTCTTTATTTTGACTGTATCCCCATTGATTGGATTCTTGGTCCTGGACTTGTCCATAATTTTCCAGATTGGTTGATAGATTGGATCAATTTCAATGTGTTTGTTGATTACTGATTGACCTGATTGCCAAGCTTCTAAAAGTTATCTGGTGGTTTTAGAATTCTTTTTATCCAAGATCTCAACATTGTCCCAGTCGAAACATTTCTTTACCAATAAACTTGAGAGTCAAAATAGTCTTTCTAAATTAGAAAATTTACTCGCATGTGTATGGCCTACATAAAGTTTCACTCATGAATTCTATACACACCTCAATCTATACTAGTATTTCCTGTTTTCAAACCTACTGATTAACTTAAAAGAAGTGATAAAATACTCTAACGTTTGTCAACTTATAAAACAATCTTGTACAATAAAAACTAGACATCACTTAATTGAGCTTCGAAAATTGGTTTGAATGAAAGGCTTATAAAAATTCTATGGTGTTATATTTTCTATCTTTTGTCCAAATCGCAAACGTTTTTTCAGTTGAATTCATGCCCAAAACCAACTACATGCATTGATAAAAACAGTACTTGTCCAATATTTATGACAAGACTAAATCCAAAATCATCAGGTCACTTGTTGACCTTCTTAGGTTTCAATAATTTGTGACTTAAAAAGCGATTTTCTATAATTTCAATAGTTGAGATCATGAGTCAATTGAAGCTAGACCACCATCGAAAACCTGGAAGCACTGGATGGCCGTTTCGTCCTATTGTGGGACTCTTCAGCACTGCGCATCCATTATTAAACTTGGTATGAAATATGACTGGTAATAAATATTATAATAGAAATAAGAAAAAACTTAACACATTTTAAAGCAGAAAGATTAAAACAATGAGAGACATGATTGTTCAACCATGTATGAATCGTCAAAACTATGTTAATATAAAGTGTAAACTTTATTTCTAACTACAAACAGTTTTTTACTAATTCTGTCCATTAGAAAATTTCGCATCATAATTAACATTACTTTTTAAACGTCATGTTTTAAGAACTCTAAATAAACACCACTAAACATTTATTTTAAACTTGTGAATGGCGCTTGTTTTGGTAAACAAATTAATAATTTTGGTGCTCATATTTTATAAAGATTTCCCCGACCTTGTTATATCGAAACCTCGCCGGTATATTTCGAATAATAACATTTTTTAGTTTACACCACAGACTGATCCCAGCCCGATGAAGGATTGGATAGTTGTTTCGTTTTAGTATGGGATTCCTCAGTAGTGAGCATTCATGAATTTACAAAAGTGTATCAAACTCAGCACCTTTGATCTACCAGCAAGCACTTAGCCTGTAGAAGATTAACCCCACATCGAATGGTTTACATTTTTGATTTCATTCAATTCGTGATATTCCCCGAATATACTTCACCACCTGTGATGAATAATTGTCTCACACCCGACAGAGTCTTAGTAGTTAAGACTTTTCAATAGAACCCTTGGAATCATAACTCAAAATTAGTCACTAGCAATACAGAATTTAGTCGAAATTTACATTTTGGGATCTCTGAGAGAAGCTTTTTCAAACACTCTACACATAAAATCCCATACAAGGAACAGCTTATCTTCGTCACAAGTCAATTTGTCATTTTCGGGTGACGACGAAATGTACTAAAATAATTAGGTTAGTCTCTACTACTTACAAACAGTATCGTAAGTCACATTCATTATATGAAATGTGTTACTTTACAGAGCCATTTCTAACACAGGAAATGAAAACACTTTAGAAAACTACCCAAGGAAAACATCAACAAACTGAGTTTACTGAAAGCGCTTGAATGTTATTTTGATAATTTGAGAAAATTAGTTTAGAAAATTTCATTAGGTTTATTTTTTAGTAATGCCGTCTCATCATGACCACAGAATATGTATTTATGATCACTGATACAAATGTCTTTAATACTTTTGTGCTTAGGTTACACGTAATGGAATAGCTCATAAGTCTGGACTCGAACCTGGAGATGTAATATTGAAAATATGCGCAACTCCGATCACTGGGATGATACATGCCCAAGTGAAAGCTGAAATTTTAAGAGCTGGTAACGATTTGGATTTTATGGTTAAAAAGTAAGTTAACATTTTATTTGAATCATATTTTTCAACGTTGTTGAATAAGTGATAATTAAAATGTGATTAATGAAATTTATGTTGTCCAATATTCAATGTTAATGATGGTTTATTAATTGTGGTTAGTTTTATAGTATTTAATCAACTGAAGTTAGTTAGCTAGATTTATTTAACCAATTCCTGAATACATTTCAATTTAATTTAATTTGAACACAAATACTGATACAAGGAGGCACCAAATAGATAAACGCCCCAAAAGTCACTTGATTTGTGTGCGGGCTGTGATACTGCCCGGGTGCCCAAACCACAGAAGGTAGTTTTCCAAGGGGCCACACCCGGAGCCTTCGACCTAAAGATCTGATCCACAAAGCAGTGAAGCAACGTCAGGATATGTAGTCCTATGGTAGCCAGTAACCAACAATTGGTTCATATGGCTTTTGTTTCCTCAGGATCCTGGAGCCCATGTGCACCATTGATTTGGAATCAGGGTGGATCCTTCGTGTCCACCAACCCGGTTAAAGAGTCGGACATTCGCTTTTCGTACTCGCAATTTCGTGAACAACACCCCCGTCACGAAAACGCAGTGAGTAGGATTTCCCTGACATTGGCTGTATACGCGTGACCATGTGAGAGTATTTGGAGAGGGAGATCTGACTCTTCTCACCCTCTGTCGTATCAGGGCATTTGGGGGCGATTACATTTTTAGTGAGCATTATTTTTGGATCTTTAAAACAGTTACTGCTATGAAAAAGTCATTTATTGATTTGCATTTAAATAACTTAGTAATAAGTATTATTCCGGAATGAAAATGTGATTCCTTTTTGCCAGGTGTTATTATGAAGAGAAATTCGGTCATTAAAACATTCATATAAGAACTGTTCGCAAAATTTATCACCTGTACTTTACATCTATGTCAAAGTAATTTAATTAGCCATCACTATGTTGCATATCACTTTGTGGATCCTGACCACCTATAAGTAGTGTATTGATTGTTGAAATACTCCCAGATAAGCCCTTGAATTGAGCGAAACATGTATTGAAAACTTATCAGTTCAAATATATAAAACTGTACAGCGATAATAAGTTGTATACTGTGAAAATAACCTCTAGTATTAAAGACATGAACAGTACGAAGCTAGAGTCATTCAGGTGACTCACAGCACTTTCTGAATGTAAAATAACTTCATTGGCTAATAAACATTTAGAAAGCTTTTTCTCAATCTGATGAACATTATTCACATATCATTAGTAGAGGAAAAGAGATGTTTTACGCTTCAGACATATCTATTTACCGTGTTTTTTTTACTTTTTACAACATCAGACAATATGCCTTAAATTCTCTGGTACAGATATACATTTAAGTTGTAGTTTAAATAGTTTATCAGTACAGTTCTTTACCATAGCAATGTGCTTGATAGGTTTAAACCTCGATATGAATATAATTCTCTTGATTTTGCATTTATTCTGCTTATTAGCACCAAATGTAAAACTTGAATTTACGACTCAATGTAAATAGTTTTAGAATACATTGATAGTCAACTCATCTGTTGTCTGAGTAACTTTTCTTATCCGCTTAATCAATATATTCTGATATTCAACATTATCTAAATCATAATTAGTAATGTTTTCGTTGATTACTTCATATAATAGAGCAGGTTACTATTAATGGCCGGTAGAAAAAGTACCGTTTATCTTAAGAAATTTAATGTCATTCATTTTTCAGAAACTTTTGTTGAGTCTTTGTCAGAAAAATAATCTAATTATTTAAGAAAAGTGTTTATAATACATTAATTTGTAACTAAGTAATTAGCACTGTCATGTCTGTCTAGTCTTTAGTGCTGATCATATTCTATCGATTAAGTTGTAGTATAGTCACTAGTCTAAATAATCCAATATTACATAAACTATGTTTTGATAATAGATGATTGTAGGTAGACGAAAGACATCCCAAATTTAGGTTTCATGATAATTAGTGTTAATCAATAAGATAATCTTGCGGGAATAAAACATAATACAAATGATATATATGTACTTATGGGGAGATATATTTTCAGACGCCGATTTGTTGGTCGTTTCTTCAATTACATTATATCAAGAAGTGATTCCGTGTAATTCTTAGCTACCTATCAAGTGAATTTACGGTGAAACGCATCATTCATCTAAAAACCTTTTGTTCAGTATCCCAAATTTTGGAAGTTTACTCATCTTTACACTGTTCAAAGCATAAACAAAAAAGAAGAGAAACGATATTTAAAAAATACTTGATTCTGAACTTAATGTTATCACTAATAAATTTTCTATTTATTTTAGACGTGATTTCAATGTAGTTGCATATAATCAAACAATGCAACAAATTGCTGCTTCTAATCGACCAATTGATGTCGCTTCAAATTCACCTGAACCACGTGCTGAAATAGTTGAAGAACATTTATGGCGACATGGTGGTCCAACATTTAAAAATGTTCAACCAAAATCATATAAAATCCTTGAACAACAATTACCGCAATCAAGTATGGGAGGTAAGTGATAATATTAACTATGTTAACTTATCATTTTATTACTGATTACTCTATTTACATACAAAATACAATGTAGTTAGTCATGTAAAAGTAAAATAAATTTTATTTTATTGAGAATGTTTATCGGTCAAGGCATAATTAAACTGATGTAAAACGTTGATTTTACAATCTTCTTATTCTTACATCATTAAGAAATATTATTAATTAATGAATGGGTTTTATTCTTAATTAATTGACGTTTTTAAAATACAAATTCATTAGTTTAATTCATAATGTCAATAGTTGAGATTATAAGTCAATTGAAGCTAGACCATCATAGAAAAGCTGAAAGCATTGGATGGCCGTTTCGTTCTATCGTGTGACTCCTCGGCAGTGCGCGTCCAGGACCCCGCTTCGTGAGATTCGAACTCGGGACCTATCAGTCTCGCGCGTGAACACTCAACCACTAGACCACTGATCCGGCACCTTTCTGATACTAATTCGTAATTACTGATTATAAACCAATGATTGGAGACTCTTGGTGACATGGCTCAGAATCGATCACAATGGCGTCGGTGTATACACTCTCTGTCTTCCCTTAAACTAAGAGATTAGAATCGCTTCATATCTTTCTTTCTTCCTGTACTACATCCTTATATGCAATCTTCTTTTATATATTACCACCACTAAATTAACTACTCCTATAAATCCGGTGTTCATCTTGTTGTGTTAATGAGGTATGGCAACTTGGACCGATGCATATATGTGCCATTGTCCTACGTTGTAGCTGACTGGCTGATTATAAACTAGATCTTGGTAATGATTCCGAATTATATTGTATTTAATTAAACGTAATTGTTTTATAAAGTTGGTTGGTTTACATTAATTATTTATATAATTCTGCTTTCCTATAAATCCTGATCAAATGTGGTAAATCAATAAAGAGAATGTACTCATCGTATTTATTATTTTGAATAGAACTAATCTGTAACATAATGAAAATTTACTTCACTATTATGTATTTAATAAAAATATCATAACTTAATTAATTTCCAAGTGGGAAATAGTAATTTGATAGGTAATGATACGTGATTTTCAATGTACAGCAATCAACTATAATGGAGTTGAAACAGTTGCTTAAATACATCTCAATGATAACCGAAAGATTATAAGAATTACAAGTAATTTATGTTCTAAAATATATTTAAACAGGCAGGAGCTCGACGAATTCAGTTTTTTTCTAAAAAAAACTTAACATATGTTAATCAATTATTATAATGATTCGATTTAAGCGAGAGTATAGTAATACTAGAAGCTAAGGGATCTAAAATTTAACTTAACACTATAATTTATTTAATTTCGACAAAAATAGTCGGGATCATAAAATGATTAATCATAGTCCATTATTGAAATCCTAGAAGCGTTGGATGACTGTTTCGTACTAGTATAGGACTTCTCAGTAGTGCATGTCCACAATCCCACACATGGGACTAGAACCCAGGACCTTCGATCTTTCGTACGAATGCCTAATCTTGAGAGCATTAACATTGGCATCTATCGGTGTTAATTTCTAACTTCAACCACTGTTGAGGGGTCCCATACTATGACGAAGTGACTGTCCAGTTCTTTCAGGTTTTCAGTGATGATCTGACATTGGTCGGTATATGATATCAGTTAACATTCAGCAATCTCCACAACCCTATAGTGTAAAAAATCTGAAATCAATAAAACCTAAGTAACTATTTATTTATAAAAGTTAAGTTAAAATCACGAACTGTCTGGCACAATGAGTATAACCATATTTAGTAATATTACATAAAGTACTGTCGTTATTCAGTAGATAAATAACCTCTCAAAGTGCCTGTAGTAATCTACTTTTATGAAGGGAACGCGATTGGTGAAATGGAAAAATTTATTATTCTAACCAACTGTACCAGTGATTGTTTTACTGTACCTTTTTGTTTAATTGTACCAAAAACACACTTTTTCCGTTGTTTGTGACCTTAAACCTACTCACGTACGCACGGTAGTCTCGCCTGTAAACTTTGGCACGATCTCGGTATTATTTTGATAACACGAGATCACCAACAAATATATCCTTTCTACAATTGTCCTTCTAATATTTATCCTACGGAGGGATATAACCTGGTAATTGGCACGTAATCGATCTGTAGTGGTGATCATAGTCAACTGAGAATCGACACTACCACATGCTTTCAGTCACTGACATACTTTTCGAATTACTATTTATAAAGAATTGGTACATATGAACGTCCATTAAGAAATAGATCGAAGTTACAATAATTAGACTAACAATAAACCACTTTAGATACTATTCATTTAACAAATAAGTAGCATATTGAACAAATTTGTATTTTCAACTTCATAACCAGTTTGAACTTGTTATTGACTAACTATATTAGGGATAATCATAAACGTTCAAGATATAAAATTAAAGGAACAAATGTGATAAGTAGACTGAATGCATAAAATATTAGTGCAATAAACGTTTGGTGAGTTATAAATCATTTGAATGTCAAATAAAATTTAAGTTATTCACAATGGCTCATGAAAACATGATTGTCATATTATTGACTTCTCAAGTACGCGTATTTCGTACAGGCACATCGGATGAATAATGAAGTTTTTGTAACATTGCCAGGTATTCAGGTGAAGTAGGCTTTGACGGAACATGTTATGTGCTTACGGGTGACTAGGTTTGAGATGAGTTCCCAAAACTCTTCTGAGAAGCTGTGACTGATGGAGTTCAGCCATGTTGGAAGTATGGTGAATATCATTAATGGGATGGGATAACAATCTAATAATTTCGCGAATAAACGGGAACGTTTGATTATAACGCAGTGTTCCAAAAGTATATTGAAACTCATAGGTTCAGTGTTGTATAATTAACTTGTTACTAACTACTGTGGAGTTCTTAGTTATGACAAAATAATTGTCCAGTGTCCTCTAGCTTAAGAAGCTGGCGTGGGTTCATAATATAATAAATTAACAATTTTAGTCTAAATTATCTTATATTAAACTAGTGAGTCTGTCATAGTAGTTATAGTTTTGCTGCTTCATTTTATTAGAGGAAAAAAATGAAATCAAGAGACTGATAGCTTTATCGATAGGGAAATGCTTTTGTTTCATCTCGTAGCGATTTTTATACATGAATTCGTTAAACAGCTGTTTATAAACAGTTAACTGATTTGAGAGGATCTCATTTAGCTAACCAAAACATTGTGTACGAAATGTATTATGTATTGATAAAGGGGACAATAATGTTGAAATCAATTATTTCTAGGCCTCTGTAAAGGTTAATATGTTAAAGTTTTGAAATGTTGTATCTTTAGATAATTATGTTAGATTATATAACTCGCTAACACATCATTTTCCGAATAATCTCTTTAATTATCAATCAATGTGATTGTAAACACTTAGCTCAAATACTAAATGATTCAGATTGACTCAGCTTCACTGAAAGGTAAAGCTTGTCAGTACAGGTACACCATTCTTTCTCACTGATTATTCAAAGTTCAGGAAAATCAGGATTTTTACAAAGGTATTTGTGCTTGACAGTTTCTTCCTTAGGTTAGAATGAACAACCTTTCATTCAATATTTATTTCCGAATAATTTCGTTAATCTGTTACAAAAATTGCCATTTTGGTTGTAGCTAACAATTATGATATAACAGGTAATGTTAGTATGGTGGGTTGTTGTTTTATGTTCAGTAAATTGATTCAGTATATTCTAGCATTGGCTACATAAATAAATATAGTAGAGGTTTAATTATTTCGAGGTTATAAATGAGCTGTATTATTGAAATGGCTTATTTTTGGTGCTTTAGATATTAATAAATTAATAATCTCATATTACAATAACAATTCAAATAGTTTTTATTTCGGACTGAATTCAAATAAACAGCTTAAGAAAAACTGTCTGACTGTATTTTGCATGTTTAACTTATGGTAACTAATAGCTTAACAAATTTTTGCTTATAAACCAAATACTCCATTTTATGTTGTCTAGTTTTCAACAAAAAATTGATATATTAGTATCCTTTCAATGGTTAAGATCATGAATCACTTGAAGCTAGACCCACTGTACTTCCAGGTTTTCCATGGTGGTCTAGTTTCAACTGACTCATGATCTTAACCATTGAAGATACTATAATATCCACAAAACCCATCTGATATTAGTATCCGATACTAATAATGTTTAGTTAACAACTGATCCCAATTAAACAGAGAAATACTCTGTACATAATACATTTGATGATGAAGTAGTTCTTCTACATTTCCCTAGTTTCAATTCACTGTTAGAATAGAAATTGTGAATGGAAAGATTATCAGTGATGTAACATTTTGAAATGCATTTTATTCAAAAATATTATAATACTATAAAGTACCAATTAGAAAAATCATATTTCTGGTTAACGTTTTTTTAGCGAGTTAGTTTTCTACGGAATGGGGTCGCTAACCCCATGCCTACCCCACCCCTTTACCCGGGCTTGGGACCGTCAGTAACGCTAGAAGAGCTATAGGCAGAGTTAATTAGAAAAATCATAACTATACATAATTCTGCTTTCTGATGGATCAATTTTATATAAAAAGAGAAAAAAATTATTTACTACAAAGTGTATTTAAGTTGTTTATTTGTAAATTTTTCGCATGAATTTTTGATTGCATGTTTGACTATGCTTTATGATAAACTCTGAATAATGATAATAATTATGAATTCGCGGTTCTTTAATTTCATGCAAGTTAGGTCATATTTGAGCATAATTTTTATACTATTTAAAAATAGATCTGATTATATTAGCTTATATACGATTAATTTTAATGATGCAGACGATTGAAATGAGTAAATGAATGGATAATAGTAATAGATGATATGCTTGAATTAACCGATATTTATGAAATCTCACCATACCATTATGAATGTACTGGGTAGAGAATATTAAGACTAATCAATGATTATAAAGCGGTTTATTGCAATAGGTATTTTATTTGATTAATTCAAGGCCTTATTCAAACAAGTTACTAAACTTCAATGGTTTGTTGAATTTTATCTAAATATTTTGAAACTTATGTATTTTATTTTCAAGGTCCTGCACCGGGTTCTGTATTCGACCGTAGTATGGATGAACGATCACCATATTTACAAGCTACTGAGCAAACTATTCAAAAAGCTTATGGCGAGTCCTAAGTCTACAAATTACCAGCTGAATACACATTTTCTTTTCTCATTGTTCCAATTAAACATGCTGTGCCATAATCACCTGTCTTTATAATATATTCATTCATCTGCTTGATGTATTTAGATATTAAACTTTTTATTTATATTAAATTATTACTAACACTATTACTGATGGCATTACATCATATAATAAACCATATTACCTGCACCTTTTCCCCCTATTTCCCTTTCTGTCTATCTTTCTGTTCCCCAATCTATTAACTATCTAAATAAATTAAATAGTCTCTACTATGAAAGATTAACATCTTTACAAAACAGATAGAGATGAATACCCTTAAAAAGGAAATACAAATAATTAATTTTCCTTCTATTTTATTTTTTATACCTTAATCTTATTTGCTCTTTCAGTCTTCCTGCCTACACTATAAAAAGAAAACTAACTAAAGTTTCCTAGCTTAACGCCTGTTTTAATAAAGGTAATCGTTTTAATATTGGATAAATTGTATTTTAAATGTATGTTCTTTAGTGAAATGCAATACTTTACCATGTATGATATTAGACAAACAATAAAATTGTAAGAATTAATTATTCTGGGATGGATTCCTTTGAAAAAAGGTAAACTATGCCAGTAAATATAGTTATTATCATTAGATAATAACTTATGTTTTTTTCTAACCTTTCACTAGTTAATTTTAGAGACCAATTCTTTTAACTTTATATTATCATTGACAGCGGAAAGGAAAGATTATTCATAAGTGAATAAAATCTACACTAATAGAATGTTCATCAAATCCTCATGAAACAATGGAAGTTTTACCCAGTGTTTCTTGGTTTTCGATAGTACTTGAATTGTAGACTGTTTACACTCTCTACAAGTCTTATTTTTAACTAGAATAGTAGAATTATCGTGAAATAAGAAAACATTTTATCTCGTATCTCTGTCTAATGGAGACTCTGAGATTATGATCGAATTATGCTCAATAAGTCAAACAATCAACAATGTGTTATGTACTTCTATTTAACATGACTTATATATCATCAGTCAGTCTTAAAATTCTAAATATGACATTGACTGGCTTTCTGTGCTTAACATTTGTGCTTCGAAATAATTTTCTTTATCCTGAATCATATATCAGATTAATAATGACTTTAATTTACCTAGGATTACATCATGATCAGAAGAACATAAGTTCCACACTAAAGAACTAGCATTTATATAGACTCATTTACTTTAGATATTACTTCATATTTCTTGTTTTATCTTGGTTTTGTTGCGTTTAATCTTTGATAACAACAACAAATTGCTGCCATTGTAGTTTTAGACCCATTATATTAGAATAAATTTGGTATACACTCATGACAGATTTTCGTAAAATTTCCATATTGAGTTGATGGAACACTTGCTCTGTAATAATAATTTCAATGTATCGAATAATCAATTAGACGGATAAGAACATTGTTCTTTAGTCAGAAATACAAACTTCCAACACTTCACATTGTTATATAATCAACTAATTGATGCAATTCGACAATTAAAACACTTTTGTATTACGTCAAATTGCTACAAATAATAAGAAATCGGTAGAACAAAATTCGAGTAAAAGTGTTTATATGATGATATAAACATTTTAGTGGAGAATTATCACGAATAGAAACTTACTCGAAATGTACGTGATCCCAACTAATTTCGTTTAGTTTCTTAAGCCAGATACTTTGCTAGACCACTAAACGTGAACAATTAGGACATAAAAAGGCTAACTATGAGATGTTTTGGGAAAATCGTATCTCAGGTATAGCAGAACCAGGTCAAATTCGAAACGCAGAGTAAAGTAAAAAGGTCAAAGGAAGTACTAAAAAAAGTTCCAAATCCACCAATGGGCAGAAAAAGGAATTCAAAAACACACAATTTAGATATTTCACCACTCGCTGTTTCTATTTGTGTTATATTTCGAAAGTCGAACATTTTCAGCTCTCATTGTCGTGTCGGGTTTGAATTTCGTATGCCTCTTGGTAGTTCTTATTACCATTCAAGCATTACTAGTTATATCTAAGAGTTCACAAAATTAAACTAATGGATGCATTCATTTTCCACATTTTATTCATCAATTACATCACCTGATTACAAAGATGAATTCGTCCACTTCATCCTTAATCAAATGATCAAGAACATAGATTTATGTATCGACCTTTCCCTGAAGTTTACAAGACATCATTACTTCTATAATATTCAATATTATTTGCTTTGGAGATTTTGTAAAATTAAATGTAACTGGGATCATAGGACTTACACTCAACAATTGGTGACCATATGTAACCTGGTTTTGCAGATGCAGTTATCATAATGAACTTTTTTCAGTGCCAAAAAAAGGCCGTCATTTATCAGTTTTGATGGCTTTTTAATATCTTTATTCAATAGGTTTACTAGGTATGAAGAGTCCTCAAGGTTAGTAGTGACACTAGTAAAAGGAAGAAGACGAATATTCATTTTTAATAAAGCTGGTACACATCGGTTTCCCAGTCTTAATAAGGCCTTGAATCACAGTAACTCATTCATCGGTGTATTAATTTTCACATTAATTCTTAAAGCCAAATTAACGGTTATAAAAGTACTCACAGTTTAGTAACAACAAATCCAAACGCTTTTTCCTTGTCTTTGGAGAAATGCATGGCAAATCTATGCTGTGAAAATAAACTCAGAGTATGAATGAACGGTAAACGTGATTAGCTTAAAAATATGTTGTGAGACGAGGGTCCAGTGTGTGCGGTAAATACTGGTTCCAGTGATGCATTGAAGATCTTTAACTGCTAGAAAAGTATCACTTAAGTTTTGAGTGAATGATGAAGATAAGGTAGATCCTTGAGAAAAGAAAGTCAAAGTTTGTCGTAATTTTTGTATGAGTTATATTCTGTACAAAAAACCACTTTCAGTGCTACATTTTCTTTGAGTTAGAAAAATATACTAACGTCACAAGGTACAAGCGTTGTTGTAGAAATGGATACTTACTTTAACTACTACATGTGTTGGTGACTACTGTAATCTTGTACATTAGTTTAGTTTCTTCAGCTGGTCTGTCATCGATTGTTCTATCTATAGCAATGATGATGATAATAACAATGCTATTCAAGTCCTTTTCATATCTATTATCAAAATGTTTTAGTGACCTACTTTCATCAAAAGAACGCGATTGGTGTAATGGAAACAATTATTATTATAACCAATTGTACCAGTGATTGTTTTTCTGTACTTGTTTGTTTAACTGTACTAAAGACATCCTTCATTCCGTTGATTGTGACCTTGCACGAACTTACGTTTGCTCAGTAGTTCCTCTTGTACTCCTTTGGCACGATCTCGGTGTTATTTCGATACCACGAGATCGCCAACAAATATATCTCGCTACAACTTTCAATCGCCGTCTGATTTCTGGTTTACCCGGAGGTTTAGCCTGTTCTGGTACGCAATCTTCTTGCAGTGGTGATCGTATTTAAACGCGACCCGGCGCCACACTACAAGGTCATCGGGACTAGTAATATAAATTCAAAGAACATTATACTGAATGAATGTCAAACCGGCATAAAACAAATACTATACTGAGTGATTAACACATCAAATAAAAAACGACGGTGAAACAGAATAAAAATCACATTGTGTAAAAAATGGTCTTTTCGTGCTATTGGTTCTAGCCACACATCCTATGGGATAACTGAGAAAAGTCAAATTTAACATTTAGGACATAGAAAAGGTCAGTAATGGTGAACGCGGGAACAGTTAGTGGAAACGCCATGATTCAGTCGTGAAAGCATGGTCATTCTATATAGCCTCTTGTTTTTTTTGTGTTGAATATATTACTCTCTTCCCAGCCCAAGTGAATTCTTCAAAATTACTAGAAGTTGTACTGCTAATTGTCATGATAGGACGAGTCAGTATAGACAAGGATGTGGCTTCCATGTGATATATTGTAGATTAAGTGGTCACATCATGACAAATTCACAATTCAAGGGTTCGATCTATTATTGTAGTAGCAAATATAAATGTACTAACATTGAACTAGATCATAATTCTGTAGTCCCTCGATTTTTATCGAGTTCTAATGGGTTTTCCGTTGTTAGATGCAGTGATTTCAAAACACGATAAGACTATGAAACCGTTAAAATTTCTGAAATGAATTCCGACGCTACTCTCTGATGTGTAGTGCCACTTGAGTCACAGAAGGCCACGTCGGAAATATTTGGAAGTAATCCGCATTGTTTCCACATACAACACCAGTGAAGCAAGATAAGAAAGCTACTTCATAAATACAGACATAAATACTCATTGTCCCAGCTTGCTGTAACGGGTAACTATGTACATGAACGTCATATTGTGCTTTTAAGGGTGAGAAAAGAAGGGACGGTCGATGTCATACGGATATAAAATATATTCAGTAATATTATGAGATACATAACGTACCGACAAAGTCGTGATGGGTTGTGTTCGAGCTGAGATAATGACTATTAGCCTAACATACAGATATATCAAAATAATACTTGGAAATTTCCATATTAGCCGGAAATTTATTAAGAAGGTAAGCGTAACTTGATATGCATTTAAACAGTCGTAAACAGTCACGCGACTTCTTGGTAGAATCTTATTTGTGTCTGTCGGTGCTAACTGAACACGTTACACAGTAAGCTGTAAATCATTCTCATTGTACTGCTTTACCTATTATTTGCATGTAATATCAGGTATGCCCAACACTGTCTTACAAGATACTGATTGTACTACAGAGAAATATGGGAACCTGCACGTAAAGCTCATGCTTTAACCTTGAGTAATTCCACCAACAAAATAGTTAAGTCACAGCATCTTCAGCTGAAGAAATACCCGAAAAAACCTGTTGTGAGCATCGCTGACGGAGGTTTGCTGCTAACAAAGTCTTATATATTGAGTATGGAACGCGAAATTATATGCTCTTTGCTTATGAAGTTGAGTTAATCTCCTGGAAATGAACTCACAGAAAATTAAGAACGTA